GACTTGGTGTTGGTGGAGATTTGGCTCGCTCTGTGTTCAAGTGTTCTAATTACACCTAGCTTGTGTTGCAGTGGGTGATTGGAGTTGAAATGCAAATACTGATCTGTGTGCGTGGGTTTTCTGTAGACCTCTACCTTAAGTGTTCTGTCCTGCTCTAAGCTGACCTTGCAATCCAAAAAGGCCAGTGCGTTGTCTTTGGGCCTCTTCACCATAGGGGCGTGACTAACCATCCCCACCCAGTCCTCAAATAGGCCACGCTCAGCTTTTTAGCGCAGAGCAATTTCCCGGAGTCTTCACGGAGACTTCAGGGTTGTCTACCGCTGACGAAGCTTCTGTGAGAGAAGCGAAACGTCCTTTTTTGGTTTTTTTGTTTTTTACACACAGGTACAGATGACGACTGACAGAACCCTTTCTACGATGGAACTTTCCTGTACGACTGAGAGCCTCCACAAGCAAACTCCATACAGGAAGGCCAGGCTCCGGAATCGAATCCATGACCTCTGTACTGTGAGGCAGTTGACCACCGTGCGACAAGAAGATGAACGTTTTTAAATGAAAATGAGCCACTGACTCCGGTAAATTGATGACATGAAATCTTTCATTGAATATATGAAGTCTGGAGTCAACATCAGTTTCACTATTCAAGACATCAAATACAATGCAGTGTAATTTTTGGGACTGTCAAGGCCTGCCAGAGAAGGATTCGTGGCTCAGTATTAAAATTGGATCAGAAGCTAGGAGTTGTCAGAACTCTAAACGACCAAACAGAGATCCCAACTACAGAGAATGGATGACAGAAAGAGCAAACACATTAAGGAATAATCTAACTACATGTGGGTACTCCAGTTATGTATGCTCTCATTATAACTGTGAAACCGTAAAAGTAAATAAATATACAGTGCTCAACATAATTGAGTACACTTCCTTTAAAGAGTAAGCTTTTTTAAAATAATTTTTTTCAAGGAACACAACAGTTGGGCGCTGTATAATCTCCTTATCTAATAATTACGCACATTTATGGATAATTAGCTTTGGCTTTGCGGAAGAGTGTTTCTTGGTGTCTGATAAAGTGATGCACTGTCAGCTCCCCTGTGGAATTCTCCTTTTGCATCTTCTCTCATCCTTCCCATTAATCCACTCTTTCCTCATGCATTGCAGGTGCTCCATCTGTTGTTTGTTCCATTGTTCAATGTAATTTACACATCATCCAATGTCTTTTCTTGGGGCTGTGCCATGAATTTATTTAACATCCAGAGATGAAAGTGGACTTTTCTGAAAATTCCGGAAAAAAAAAAAAATATATATATATATATATATGGGGGATTTGTGGATGACTGGGTGCACCATAACCACTTACATCTTTTCTTTTTAAGTAAAACACAAATATAATGCTCTTCTTTTGAAACTGTTGGGCAAACTCTAAATTTCAAGGGGACAAAGGTCAAATCTTCATTTGGGCAGCTTAACTAAATATTTTAAGCATTGCTGTTCTGAAAATTGGCTTTCCCACGGTTGACAAGAAAGAAATAAGAGTTTATAGGACTGCTGCTGCTTTTTTTGGCCATCCTCAACTTAATGTGATTAAAAAAAAACACTGTTGCCAGAAATGACAATAATTGATATTTTAAAGTTGTTCAATCTGAAATGACTGATTTAGTCACCCCAAATACAAGTTGCTTTTTTTTTTTAACAGTGTAGATAGGCTGCAAACTGATTTAACTGCAACAGTTTGAACAGGGAGAAATATGGGATTTTTTTCCCGTATGTTGCCCAATTTGTATTTGTCTCCTCATTTGTGGAAACACTTTTTTCGTTTTCTCATTTACCTTCTTGAAGAATGCCATCTTTGTGGTCATGACCAAGTGAAGCGTGACAAGGTAAGAAAAAATATCGTCGTTTGAAGCGCCCGGTCAGGATCTTATGCAGATCGTTTTGAAGGGCTTCATTACTTCTTGCTCTCCCTCGAGGGAAGGCGAGAGTTGGTGTCTGCTGGGAGAAAAATTTAGCTTCACATGCTAACTAACGCAAAACAGCAAACGTGCTCGAAGATGCATGTAAGACAGTTAAGACGTTCCCACACAGAACACATGAGGTAGGGCACAGGAAGCGGAAGTCATTGCCCTCTAGCATCACATCTACTTTGTAAACAAAAACAGTGCAGCTAAACCTTTGCTTGTTGCTTGTTGCATTAATAATGAATCCCATAATATGGCAGTGGGGCGAGTCCTGCCTTGAACCCAAGAGGGATTCATAATAACGCCTCGTGTCCATTAGAGCTCGCAATATGCTTTTGGTACAATGTCAAACCTGGTAACACGTCCGAAATTTTTTTTCACCCAAAAAGCGGATCGTCCGTTTCTGAAAAAGAAGACAAACGCTGCACTTCCCTAAACAGAAAAGAATAAAGGTGTTACAATATTTATCTATGCTCATTAACCCCTTCAGGTACAGCGGTTAC